TGTTGCAACTATGAAGACATATATTATATTGTGATGACATTCACACAGTTAAAGAATTGCATTTGATTAGATCTCCCTTTATAAATAATAACATAACAGCAATTCATAGTCACCATGTAATTCCAGCAAAAAACAAAGAAAGCAGATTCCCAACAGGAGAACAATGTTTTGTCTATATTTTAATCAGCAATGATTTATACACAGCAATCTGCATTTAAAGAAAGAATTTATTTGCCCAGAGTCACGACTAACAACCATTAAGACTTATTATGCCTGGATTTCCCAACAACTCATGTGATTGTACAAGGTACAAAAGTTTACAACCTAGTGAAATGTTGACATTGAAGCCTGCTCAGTGAGTTTCTCACAGAATAACAAGCAAGGTTGAATTCATTCACTTAAGAAGAAACATTTTTATTGTATCTGAAGGGTCCTGATGATAGAAACAGTAATTTAAGAGATTGAAAACATTTAACAATAAATTAATTGAGAAGTTTTCAAAGCATCATTATTGAGCACTTCAGAAAATCTGAGTGTTTCGAAGGAAATAGCTTATTAACATTTCTTTTTAATGAGACAATATTTCATTGAGGATAGAAAATGAAATCTAGAAATTTTGATAATGCTCTACAAGGTTCTCTTTCTTTTTTTCTTTCTTGCTTTTCCTCCATCCCTCTTTCTTTGCCACCTCTCTCTTTTCCTTTCTTCCCTTTTCTTCTAGTCAACTTGTGTCTTATGGTAAAGAAACAGTGACTATTCTCCAGTTGCACAAAAAGCAGAGAGGAGCTCTATGGTAGTTGTAAATACTGTGTGTTTTTCTTTTCATATTTGGTAGTTGATTTACATTGGGGCCTGATGTGTGAGAATCAATTTAAACATGTACGGGGAGTAATGGCTGGTACTGATGAAGAAGTTCTTGTCTCTATTTCTCCTTATACGTAGCTTAATATAATGCAAAATAAAATGAGACCAACTATTTTATTTGTTTAAAATAATCTCTGAATTATTGTTAGTTAATCTCCTATGTATTCACTGTTACTCCACAGCTATTATACTTTTAATCTAGGAATGCATAAAGGTTACTTAGAGGCAACATTTACACAGAGCTGGTTCAAATCTCAGCAGATTTGTCAGATACCAGACAAATTAGATAATCTTTCTAAATCTCAGCTTTCTGATTGACAAATTGAGGTAATAATGGTACTGGGAGAAAGAAATAAATGAGATAATGCATAAAAAGAATTTATCACAGTGTCGATACAAAGGAGGAGTCCTGCTATAACACTGCAGGATAATGCACTGGACTACAAGGTCAGTTTGAACTGCAAGGTTGGCAGTTCAAACCCACCTGATGCTCCTCAGAAACCCTGTATAGGGTTACAATGGGTTGGAACCAACTCAGTGGCACTTAACAACAACAATACAAAAGAAGGCCCAAGTTAAATGCTAGCTCTGATTGTTACCTGACTTATCCCCAAGAGATTATGAAATCACTGGCCAAAGGTTCATGATTACTTAAATTTATACAAAACAATTTAGGGAGCTAATCAAACTTTGCTTATTTAAGTTCCACTAGTATAAGATGTGACTACAACAATGTAAGTGATCTTTAAAAATGTATACTTATTCTTGATTGGTATCCATTAACTGTCTTGGAAACTAGACACATACTCTAGTCATAAGTTCAGTCAAGTCAGTTCTGACTCATATTGACTCTGTATATTTCCAAGGCTTTAAATCTTAGCTGGAACAGAAAGCTTCCCCTTTCTCTCATGGAGCTGGTGGGCTCAAACCACTGACATTTTTGTTTGTCTTCCAGTGCTAACCCGATAGAGCCATTGGCGCTTCCAGTCTTGTTTTACCACGGCCCAAAACCTTTGTAAACGTTACTTCTGGAAAACTCTTCAGAAGGACATTTTGTGTCATATTAAAAAAATCATTGAAATTGCTTTCATTTGACTAAATATCAAGCCTGTTCTTGAGGGGTGAGGAAGGTCAAATGAGATACTCTATTTAATTTGAGAGAGCTTTGTAAATTATAAAGAACTAGACCAATGTAAAATGCTACCGAGTAAAGCATTAAAGGATGAATATCCTCTCTAAGAATATTAACTAATATGCCTCAGGCTTTTAAGGAACTTTAAAAAATGTCCAAGAGTTTTGAGCTCAAAAACCCATTGCCGTGGAGTTGATTCTGACTTACAGTGACCCTGTACAGGGTTTCCAAGACTATAAAAGTTTAGGCCAGGTGGCTGGTGGGTTGGAATTGCTGATCTGGTGGTTAGCAGCCCAAACCTCACCCACAACACTACCTGGGCTTCTTAGCAGCAACTTTATGACGTCTATAGTCTCCAAATTGCCTCCCAAAATGCATGACTCCTATCTAGATTATCTAATTGTGTTAAGTTTAGTTTATTTTTAAAAGTATATATGTTGTTGAGTGCTGTGGAGTTGGTTCTGACTCATAGTGATCTTGTATAGGGTTTCCAAGGAGCAGCTGGTGGGTTTGAACTGCCATCTTGCAATTCAAACCGACCTTTTAGTCCAGCGCCACATCAGAACGCCTATATAGTGGTGCTATACAATAAGCACTGGACTGCTAAACACAAGGTCAGCAGTTCACAGGGTCTCTGTTAGTCGGAACGACTCAATGGCAATTAACAATAACAACAAGTACACACACACAAACACATAAATATATTTATACTAATATGTTGTATATATGTGTTCAGTATTCTGTTTTAATTTTATATATATACACTACATTGGAGTACTGGTGTGTTGTTGCTGTTGTTGTTAAGTGTTGTTGAGTCGATTCTGACCCACAGTGACCCAGAATAGGGTTTCCAAGGAGCAGCTGGTGAGCTTGAACCACCAACCTTGCAGTTCAAATGACTTTGCAGTCTGATGCACACCTGTTGTGGCACTGTGGGATAAAGCACTGGACTGCAAAGTCAGTTTGAACCTCAATGTTGACTGTTCAACCCCACTAGCCACTCCTCAGAAACACTGTACAAGGTTGCTATGAGTCATAACCAACTCAATGGCACTTAACAACAACAACATACTACATTAGGGGAGCACAGTAGCTGTATACATAAGCACTGGACTGTGAACCACAAGGTTGGTGGTTGGGGCCCATCAGAGGCCAGAGAAGAAAGGTGAGGCTTTACGCTCATCTTTATAGCAACCTCTGATTAGCACAAGGATGCTTTGAGTCAGAATCAATTCAACAGCACTTAACAACAACATTATTACAATAAGTTATTATTACTCTGTCCTTTTCTGTCACATCTAAAATGATCTTTTATCATTGGAAATTTTACATATATATCTTAAAATCATGATCTTCAGTTTGTTTTAAACATTCCTCCAAAATTTACCATCACAAACCAACAACCATGAGTTGGGTTGCAATATCGCAACTCGGTGATTTAGGACTACTTTTTCAGGGAATGGTTGAAATAAATTGCCTAGGGAAAAATGAAAATTTAACATCTACAACAATAAAACATTTAAATTTGTAATTTGAAGTGTGGTCAAGTGAATGCAATTGAGTTATAGCAATAAGGGATGAGAGAATAAATATTAAGGTCTAGAAAGGAAACCTAGGAAAATGACATCCACAAATGGGGCCATGGATAAATATTTCCAGTCTGAGGCCTGTTTGAAGACACTGAATTGTGACTAGGCTGGTTGAACATAATATGTCTTAAATTGATCATCATCAGATCATCTCAGTTAATGGAGAATTTAAGAGAAAACATGATACGATCATATATAAGATGATTTCAGAAAGTTCATGGAAAAGTTGAATGAAAAGTTCATGGAACTCTTCCACAAGCTTTTGGAAGCCTTAATGGATTGTTTCCTGGTTCAGAGAGACAGACTTTACTTCACTAACATATTCCTATTGACTGAATCCTATCCAAAAGTTTTCAGAGGTCATTTCAGATCCTTTTGACTCTTTTTATTTTATAAGTACAGCACTTCCTTTTTCTGTTCTGTCATTTTGTATTAATTATATTTTCTGGTTATCAACTGGATGTGACACTTCTTAATAAAAGCTGACTTATCTCCTCCTCCTTAGTATAGCCATGGTCTTATCCTAATCATTGTCTGCTGAAGCATCTTATCACAACTGGGAAATAAGGACCTTGCCTCCCCACAACTGCTCATGTGCAAACAGAGGACAAGGGAAAGTGTGGGATATGAATATCTTTTGATATTATTAAGAATCTTAGAAATGTATACATAACCCATTGTTTATTCAACATCAGCCTTTAAAGAGAAATAACAAATAATATTTTGAAAGCAAACAAAGTGAATAAATCATTTTTGCTAGAAGAAAATGAGTAATGTCTTTTCAAGTTTCCCACGAATAACAACAAAGCTTAAATACATATATTCCTAGAGCAGGCCATGCATTTTGCAACACAACTAAACCCATTAGGCAGTGAGAGAAGAGAGAAGAAACAGAGCCACAATACGGAAGATATATTTTGAATATAATGGGATACAAATCAGGAGCTGGAAAATCCCCAGTTTTAGATTAGTCAGTTGGCTTAATTATAGTGGAGACAAACTATCAAGCTCCCATTCTGCTCTGTAACTTGTAGACTTTAAGTAGTTTCTTTCTATAGCTTGCAAAAAAACAAACAAACAAAAAACCCAGGAGATTGAAAATGCATGCATACCTCTTGTCATTGTGTGGTTTGACTTATTTAATGAAATTCTAATTTCAATACTTGAAGAAGTACTATGCCCTATTTGCATTGCCCTGCAAATAAACCTTTTTCTTTTAGAAAAGGGGTTTGAAACAGAGAAGAATGAAAATGCGCTTGTACTAGATCCTTATTCAAAATCACTTCTGTACTCTTTGCATTTGCAGATTTAAGATGTTAGAATTCAAGATTTAAGTAAGGTTTAAGGAAGAAATGTTTTAAAACAGTGTGTTATTTAAAGGTTGATTCTTCAGATATCTTTATGAACATTCCAACTTGACTTCTAACTTAGTGTGACATACCTTTTCATAAGTATAACTGTTACATTTACAATGATCTCTTATTCCAGACACATGAAGGAGGGGTGGGGTGGAAATCAAGACTTTGATAAGATGTGTAAGTCAGGACTGAAGAGTTCAGTTACCAAAGCCCAGGAAGTAACATTACCACACCCATCACAGTAAATGTCATAGATTCAGTCACTGTTGAGTGGCCTGCTCCAGTTGTGTCGAAAATACTGCCACTGTCTGTTTGATGAATTTGCTTTACGTCGCTGAGGTTCACCTCATCTGGCATCCCTGTAGAGACAAATAAGAAAACTCGGGATGATGCATAGCCATCTCACCATGTGATATCTAGAACAGCTCTTAAACCCAGATTTTGGACACCATCATTATTGGGTAGCTTTCTTTATGTGTACACCTTGCTTTAAAGGATTAATGTGACATAGGTACTTCTGCCCTGATTAATTTGGAGAGTGCAGACGCTTATATAAGAGTTCTTAGCACTATTATAAGAGATAAATAAATCTCTTTCAGCCATTTTGATGATAACTCTAATGCCACTAGGAGCTCTGGTAGCGTAGTGGTTACGAATTGGGCTGTGAACCGCAAGGTCAGCAGTTCGAAACTACCAGCTGTTCTGCCGGAGAAAGATGAGGCTCTCTGTTCCCGTAAAGATTTACAGCCTCCGAAACCCTGTACAGGGTCGCCATGAGTCGGAACCGACTCTACGGCACATAACAACAACAATAATGTCACTGATTGATAGGTAAGTAGACATTTAATAAGCGATACTGGTGTGTGGTATTATCGTTTGTCGCAGAGATGTAATAATTGTAGTAACTATGTGAAAAATGTTCTCATGGAGATAAAAACATGTATGAGAAAACAAATGGAATGTTTTTTGAAAGCTGAATTTCAACAGATTTGATTTTGCATTAAACTAAACCATGTTATGATCTTTTTTGGAAATAGAAAATAATAGGAATACATTTTAAAAGATGACTTTTATATTCATACACACTACTACTATTATTTTAGAAAAAATTAAACCAGAACGCTCCTTAGAAGCAAGTATGGTGCAATTTTGTCTTGTTTACCTGGGACAGTGTTCAGGAAAGATTAATCCTTACACCAGCACATTGTTGTTGTTGTTAAGGGCTGTTGAGTTGATTATGGCTCATAGTGACATTTTATAGGATTTCTGAGGAGCATTAATAGTTTGCCACTAATAGTCCAGTACTTATCCTAAAGTGTCACACCAGGACATTATGAAAAGCAAATTATGTTTGGCAAAACAGAGTTAGTGAAAAGAAGGGAACACTTTCAGAGATGGGACTGACCAAAAAGCCACATCAAGGAGTTCAAACATGCCAGTGATCATGAGAATGTGCTGTTTGATTCTAATATAAAGTTGTAAGATTAATACCGGACTGCTAACTGGTAAGGCGCTCTGGTGGCGTAGTAGTTACGAATTGGGCTGCTAACCTCAAGGTCAGCAGTTCGAAACTAGCTGTTACTTGGGAGAAAGATGAGGCTTTCTACTTCCTTGAAGATTTACAGCCTTGGAAACCTGCACAGGGCTGCTATGAGTCGGAACCAACTCCCCAGCACACCACCACCACCACTACCAACTGTTAAAGTTAGCGGTTCAAACCCACCACCCAGAAACTCTACCCAGAGTCCCTATTAACAACAACAACATAAAATTGTCATGAGTTGTACTCCATTCAATAGCATCTAACAACAGTAACATACACATCTGTTGGGATGAGGTGCAAACATCTGTGTAGAACACGGAATCAGTTAATGAAGTACACTGGGGATGAGTGCCTGATTTAAAAAATTGCAGCAAGATTTACAGACCCAAATCCAGTCACGTCCTGGTTAAGAAATGTGACAAGCTAAAGAGGACAGCCCCTAAATGATTTGGGATGAAACAATTATTTTTGTAAATAAGGTCGCTGTGTGGTATACTTAGGGAATTACTGATTTGTTATTTACTATCTAGTGCCACCAGTATTCTTAGACTATGTGACTATCTGAATTATCTTAAGACATGCTGCGATCAGTCACAATGAACAGATATAAATTCATTGTTGCTACAGCTACAAATACTGCCATTGTAATTACAATGCATCTTAAAAAAAGTTTAAAAGAAAAAAAAAAAAAGCTTTGTTTAAGAAAAAGTCAATATTTATGTGTTTGGTGGTGGCTGTGTGCTATGGAGTCGGTCCCAACTCATAGCGACCCTGTACAGGGTTTCGGAGTCTGTAAATCTTCACAGGAGTAGAACCCCTCATCTTTTTCCCGCAGAACAGCTGGTAGTCTGGAACTGCTGACCTTGCTGTTCGCAGGCCAATTCATAACTACTAAGCTACCAGAGCTCCTTATTTATGAGTTTAGGTTAAGCCAAATCAAACAAAAACATTGTTGTCATCAAGTCACTTCAGACCACAGGGTTTCCAAGGCTGTACCAAAGCCATTATCTTTCTCCAGTGGAGGAGCTGGTGTGGTGACTGGTGGGTTAGAACCTCTGACCTTTCAGTTAGCAGTTGAACACTTTAAACACTGCACTTCCAGGACTCTTATAATCAGGATAATATACATACATAATTCAGAAGGTAAGCTCTACTGCATGCAGACACAAGAGCACTAAAAGGAAGCATAGCTCTACTGATCTGACATATTGATTTTACCGTCTGAGCTCTCCCATTATTATTCATTGTTTGGGTACTTGTTTTGCCCTTCTGTGTCATTAAGCAAGATGAATAAAACTAGTGCTTTTTTTTTTTTAATTAAAACAAATAATAAATTTATAGGCAGCGGAGTGGAGTGTGAATATGTTAGTCATGGTTTTATACTTCTTGTTAAGCTAGAACTAGACAAGGGGCTATGAAAACTCGAGGCAATTATAAAATAATGTTTTCCAAGATAAGTACTAAATTTTGAGCTTTACGGAATTTCCTTTTTCCTTCTTAAGCATTGTGAAATTATATCTGGATTGAAACCATGAATAACGTTTTCCTATGCCTTTCTAAGCAGATTTTCCATTCATTCATTCACTCATTCATTGCTTCATTCATTGTTGAGCTAGACATTGGTTTTGGTTAAAAGGATACCATAGTGAGTGTAAACGTCTATATAGGAAGACCTTAAATCCTATACCTGCAAACCAGGCAATGCCAGAATGAATATCCCACTTGGAATCAGATCAGATGTCATTTTAACCTCCAAAGTAGAGATGCTACTAATAAATGCAGTGGTTATAAGGGTCATTGGTCTTTAAAGGTCACATAAGAAGTATTTGAAAACAATTCAAGATCCCTCGAAGATCCTGCCAGGCAAGGCTGCAGTCGTGGATCAAGTCACAAACTGTCTTGACCATGTTAAGGCACTCTAGCATGTCAAGAAGATCAGCTTACTGATTATTTGATGCAATGATTGTTTTCTTATAAGAATTTAATGAATTAAGTTTGCTAATTATACTAAGGCTTAACCAAAGAGCCAAAAATATAAATCAGTTTAGGGATTTATTCATTAAAAATTTAACAAAAACTCAATAATGTATGAATAATCTTTTCAATGCCCAGTTGCTGTTGTTCAGTACTGTCGAGTTGGTTCCAACCCACAGAGACCCGGTATAGGGTTTCTGAGGAGCAGCTGGTGAGCTTGAACCACAGACCTTTCAGTTCAAACAGCTTTGCAGTCTGGGACATTAACCCACAGCGCTATGTCAGGACTCCATCAATGCCCAGTAGCAACATACAAAAGTGTCAGAAATTCATTATTCTACCTTGACTGACTTATGGTCCACTGGGGAAGGCAGTCACGTTATTACAAAAATAAATATGATCCTAAAATTCAGACCTGTACCTGATGGTGTGTGCCCTGGAGTCTGTAGAAAGGTTCCACTAAGGAGAGGACAGTGCTTCTGAATTTATTTGGTGACATTTACAGAAGACTTGTCATGAAGTCAGCTGCTGTTTCGAACACTGTACAATGTTAGTGTGTCTGATTCTCATAGCAATCCCATGCAGTAGGTTCTGGTACTATGGGTAATTAGTGTTAATTTTATACATAACAAAACTGAGGCTGGGAAAGGTTAAATACCATGTGAGGAGTTGAGCCAGGCATCAGCTAGGATTTCCTTGTTTGTTTTTTTTTAAATCCCAAGATTTCTGCATCCTTCTGCATTTTGAGCACCTTCTGTGTTGACTCCAAGCACTTTGCTGGACATGAAGGAATTCCTATTTAAGTTGAAATTAAAGGTCAACTATGTTGCCCATAAAATGCACAGATAGTTTTTTGTTTTGTTTTTTCCCTCCTCACTTGACATCGAGGATGGCAGATTGTGTGCTAGTTTTGTGTATTACTCATTCAAACAACTGAAATTGTTCAAGTTAGAATCTACATGAGCTAGTCATGTATATACAAGTGGGTTTCAAATGTTGATTGAAAAATTGCACTGTCTTTTAATTTCAGTTCACAAACTTTTTGAAACTCTTGTACTTGCCTGCTCCTTGGGCTGGAGTAGTGTGGGTCTGTATTTCTCTCTCCATTTCATCAATCAACACTTTAAAAGGTAGTTTTAGTTTCAGCAGATAAAAGTGACTATATTTAAAAGATATACAGGTGTTTTTTTGTTTTGTTTTGTTTTTTAAATAAAGTAAATAATGAGGCAAAGTATTTACTTCTTGTTAGTTTGCTCATTCATTTTTCAAATTTATCTACTTTTAGCACTATGCTGGAAACTGAGTATATTAAGCATATACAGGATTTTTCTTCATAGTTTTTGTTGTTAAGTGCCATCAAGTATGTTATGACTCATAGCGATCCAGTATAGGGTTTCCAAAGAGCGGTTGGTGAGTTTGAACCCTCAACCTTAAAGTCGAGTGCTTATCCTATGGAGTTATCCTTTCTTCATAGTTAGATGAATTTCAAGGTAAATTTTTCAAACAGAAAAAATCACCAGGTAGTCCAGTGCTTATCCTATGGTACCACACCAGAACGCCTATCAAGATGTGGTGCTGGCTAATAAATTAACATTCAGAAAATAAGCTAGATCTGCCCCCTCCTCCAATAGCATTCTCTAAAGTAAGTGCCATGGGACAAAAGACTTCAGTCTAAATAAAGTCTTTACCATAAAGAAAAACCATGATAGGAGTAAAGGGACAAATAGTGAAGAAAAGCAAATAGTACACTATACATTGTAGCAAAGAAATAATATTCTCAACATACAGCTACCATTTACATATGATAAACAAAATATAGAAAAATGGTGATGGAAAACAATG